CCAAAACCTTCCAGAAAGCTTCCACGACTGAATTTTCCTGAAACCGTCTGGCAACCCTCGCGGGTCGCCAGGACCGTCTGACCCCAGAAAAACGAACGCCAACCAGAAGTGCACCGCGGGGGGTACGGAGTAGTCCGAAAAAAACGAGCATGCTCTGGCTGGCTCTGGCAGCCCTTGGGTAGCCAGAAGTGGAAAATCGAAGAGCCTCAGTAACTACACCATGTGCAATCTCGCCGAGACGAGCTAGAACTACGTAGCGCCCGCTACTTAACACATGCGCTATTTTCACCGCTGTAAACCTGACCATCAATTCGCATATGCCACTGAGAGAACAAGGGCAAATACAAGTACTGCTGATATCCACTCACCTCCTATTTCAAATTGAATAAACAGCTCATCGCTGCACCGCCGTGACGGCCATAACGTCTACCCAACCAACGCCTCCTCTAGAAAGATGCCGGAAGAATGGTTCGCGCTCCCAGCGGAGTTGGCCTGCCTTCAGTTTTAAACAACCGCCGCACGGTGGTGGTCGTGATTGACACTATCATTACAGCGGCGGGCGGTACAAGCTAAGCATTTTTCATCTGCGGCCCATAAGGGCGCGTCAGTCGAGAATTGTTCCAGACCTGCAACTGTACACCACTGTTTCGGAGGCTATGCAAAGTGTTGCGTTGTTGCACCGTCTGCCACAGGTGACACTAGCGACCGAGAACATTCTAAAATGAAGGAGGGAAAGCGTGTGGCAGCTGTTTTTCCTCTCGTGCAGTAGGCCTCTCAATAGAGGAGGCGTTTATCCAACGTGCGAACGAGGTGAAAACGGTGCGCAGTTATACACGTAACACGCTGTGGAATGTGGAAGTGAGCATAAACTATGCATGCGTGTACATTGGCCTAAAGCTAAATGAATTGCAATATCTTTGATGAGTTTTATACTATTACGTAAGTGCTTTACAGCCGTTCTAGTTTGTGGGCTTCTGAAAATTGCCTGTCGTTGGTTAGTTTTGGTGAACTATTTTTCTTAAGTGCAGTAGGGCTCTGCATAGACCAAAAGGTGTGCGTGTGGTAAAAAGTGTGCAGTTTAAATGCTACACTGTTAACTTGCTGGTACACTTTGGTCCTTTGAATGAAAAGAAACAAAAAAGATGTTCTGTAGAGAAGCCAGTGCGAACTGAATTAATGACCAGAACAAATGAGCGTCCATGGCTCTTCGGTAGTCTGACTTCATGACAAAGTGACCAAAGAAGCGGACACATCCGCTGTAACCGCTTTACTTTTTTTGCCGCTTGTACGTGCTCGCATGCCACGAATTTCTGTCGAATAGTATATAATACGCAAAAGTAAGTAAGCTTGATAAATAGGCAAAATCTGTGAGCATTGGCCAGCAACCACGGTATGTGTCAGGAAAGCCCTTTGCCCCCATGTTAAATATCACAGATATTTTCCAAAACTTTTGCTTTATTCTAATTATTGAGAAAGGAAAACAACTAAAAGAAAAGCGCACTTTACCATCTCGCCCATATTTTGATTGTAGGCCATTCCCTTTTCTGTCACACTGTCCGGGCATTGGTAAATGATAACGAAAGCCGATGGGAATTCAAGCTGTTTCCAATCATCGGCCACTGCTGGTAGGGAGAGGACGTCTGAGGTAGAGAGGACCAGAGGTAATTGCAGTGACGGACGACGTGACCGATACGGTGGCAATGAAAGTGAATTGGTCGATTGTCGGCGGTTCTCCACGCAGCAGGGTCATGAGATTGAGCCGTAAACTGCTGCTCATGATAGGACGAGGGTGCACATAATGGAGCTCGCTGCGGGCTGGGCAAAGCGCACACTGAGGGAATACCTATGCTGGCGAGTTCTTGGCGGACGATGGCTTGAACCTTGTTAGCAGTGAGTGGGGTCGTGTCACTTGCAGCAGTGTGAACCAGAGCAAGGTTAATGGCTTCAAGTTCACGCCGTTCAATTCGGGTCACATGATCCGATGAAACTGGAGGTGGCGGCTGTGTTTTTGCATGGTCTTCACAAGATGTTGCAGCCGTATTCGGAAGGCGGGCAAACACGCTGTCAATCCGCCGGTTCTTCGCTTGCTCAAAGCGCCAGCATTCCTTTATATTGACGTCCACTGTGGAATAATTTTCGCAGATGAGGAAGTTGAATGCATTGTCCTCAATCTCCTTAAGAGTATGTCCAACTTTGTCAGCCTCAGGCATCTCAGCATTGGCTTTGCGACACAATGCTAACACATTTTTTATGTACAAGACGTACGACTCTGTCGAGGTCTGTGCCCTAGACGCAAGCATATTGTTCGGGGCCATTTTTCTTCCTATAGGCGTCCTGGACAGGTACAAAATTTTCTCCCTGCACAATGCCCAACTCCCGAGTTCTGCTTCAAGGTTTTCATACCACGATTTGGCGGTTCTCTTAAGATACAACAACAAGTTCGCAAGTATAAGAGTCGGGCCCCATCAATATAAAGTACTCGCACGTTCGTACTCTGCCAGCCAATCTTCAACGTCTACTTCATCTGAATCGCCAGAATCGCTCAACGTGCCAGGATCCCGCGGGGTCTCGATCACAAAGAATATGGTCACAGGAGGAGATGTAGTCGCCCCATCATCTCCAGCCGCAGGAACACCAGGAGCAGATGCAGACACTGTATTTTCTGTCATCGTTGCAGAATGACCCTTCATACGATGGCCGCTGCGAAGTTCTGTTGCGAGGCGGTTACCCAGCACGTCCACCCAATGTGACGGGGCGAGACCTAGGTTTATAGTATAGCGTCCACAGTGAATCGGCAGCCGAACAAGATGGCTGAGTAGTCTCTCGCACAAGCGTCTAATGCACAGGCGCCTTTATCCTCTTCGAAAAGTGATACGCTTGCTCCTGTTGATGGTGCACTATAACAATAGATATATATCTGTTTTGCCGAAAAAAAAAAAAACACTTTGCATCGCATCTGTTGCTGCTGGCGCGATCGCTCCACCAAGGGAATCGAGCACATGTTATGTGAAGTTTTGCTCTCTCACACCGGCTCATTGGTCGCGGAGGCAAGTTTGTTATACCGTAATATTGCAGTGCTAAAACACGATGCATTATGCACACAGCATTCACAAATACGCAGAACTAGAAAGCGCATCGTAGTTGCCGCTCTGTCCGATTTGGTTCACTGTTGCACACATTCCTGTGGGTGTTTTACATTATTTTATAACACGTAAAATCCAAGTTGTTTTACTTGAGGCTGCTGCTGTTGCATCCCAACATGCATCACGTGAGCCCAACCATCACAATTTATGCAAATGCGGTTGTTAAAGCTCGCTAATGCACCGGTTTCAGGCAGTTGAACGTACCGAGAACTTACTGCTACCAGCATGCACTGCGATTGCGGTAACATAGTGAAGCTTGCTGGTGAGATTGGTCTATTCACTGTACCCGAATGCTACAGCTTCGATCCGTACGATCAAAAAATGCATATCGAAAAGAATGTATGCGTTTGCTTTTCACAATGTAAATTCATAAATTTTGCGAAAATTTGTCGACAATACTGCCATTCAGAAGGTACCACTGAAGTCGTATGAAGTTAGCCGAAAGGCATAGATTGCAGCTGTGACTGCACGTTTACATAGCTCTAGCCATTTCAATTTGCTGTTCGAGCTAGAGGTTGTTGGCGGCATGTGGCACTACATAATATCTATTATAATTATGCTACATGCAGTCATTGCATTCGATTGATTTTATGACTGATTTATTTTATTGTTTTATTTTGATATCCAAGATATTATACACCTCATACAATCAAAGTAATTTATGAGTGTGAACAAGCAATAACGCACGAAGGGACGTAAAGTGTAACTTGCTCTTCGTGAGTTAGCAGCTGATCGTGCATCGTCACTGTCACTGTGGGTGCTTTCATAGCCTTCTACGTCCACTGTGAAATTCTCGCCATCTAGATGCTTTGTTTCAACATCACTGCTGAAAGAAATATGAATAATTTTCTTCGCCGAATGATTTCAATCACATCGCGTCACCCCTTTATCAGGGTGCGAAGAACATTTTCATTTTTCAAATTTTACTCTCAAATCGGCCAGCAAGCGAATCGTTTGGAGTGTGCTGCCACCTATCAACAAATGTACATAAACAAGCACCATAGCGCTGGCCAATTTGAGATTGCTCAAGCAAATCGCGAGTCCACCTGACTTGCCGCATATGAAGCAAGTGCGCAGGCAGCAATCACGTTTCCGAAGGTGGAGAGGCACAATTTTCATCTGAAGTGAAGCCCAGGCAGGCAGATGTAGTTGAGTATTATTTTGGGGTCGTTATACAGGGAGAAAAATTTCTGGAGGGAGGAGGGAACGTGCCTGGTCTTCCACCCTCTGACTACCCCGCTGGCTTGCCACAGTGGACGTAGTGAAACTGGTTTGATCAGTCAAGTCTCAAGGAAGTTTTTATTTCAGTTTCTGCATGCAAATGGGGGTTGGCGAGAGAAAAGCAACGAGTTTAACATTATTTCACGGGCCTCATCATTGGGAAATTTTGCTTGTGCATGTACTTTTTAACTTTGCCGTCTTAACACTCCTTTCTGTGACGTTATGGTGGCAAGGAACTTGCAGCATGGCCAGCTCTCGGGAAGTGTTCTAAATCTCAAAATGCACCAGTAGTGGGGGATTAGCATTTTTAGTGAGTAGAGCTTTAGTGACTAATTTGATTATATCTGTAAGAGTAGCATCGACAAAGACATTTGCCTATCGGATAAGAAGCATGACAGAAGAAGGCAAAGTGCATTTGATGTGTTGTCTGGGTCACTGCAGTGGCTTCACGCGGTTCAGGTACAAACTTTTCTTATGACAGGGGTTTTGTTTTTTATTACTGATTGTAGGCTGGTAATTGAATGATACAATTTGAACTGCTTTGGCATCACAAATTCTCTTTCTTGTAGCGCATGTAAATTATTATAAAGTCTTGACTTCTTTTGCAATGTACTCATGCATGCCCTTTCTGTGCAGTGTACGCACGGATTTCGTCGGCCACCGGTTGTGCTTGTGTGTTCTTATGTGCACACCGTATGACAAGACAACGGCCTGGCGAATGGTGGCTTCCCGACACCGAGGCGTCATCTATCTACGGGTTCATCCGACAAAGACGGAAGTGCACGAATACCTCAAAGGGAGGAAGGACAACTGCTTTGTGGATCGCACGACATACTGGGGCCTCAAGTTTCACCGCATCATGAGCCCAAGTGAAAGTCTAGTGTTTCCTAACACGATGAGAAGTTTATATTACGGTTATTCCTTCCAACATGCAGCATAAGGCGGCATTTCTGCACGTGCACAAATAGGCCGTACAGTAATCGCACACAAAGTCAAACCCACATAAGTCGAGCTCACAAAATATGGGAATTAGTTCGATATACTCTGCAATACCATATAATGTTTTTAAGAACTTTGCTGATTTATGGTGAATGGTAATGTGGAAGTAAACATCATAGTATTATGCGGGACGGTTTCCAGAAGTTTCGATTCTAGTTATCTGTACATACTTTCATTTTTTTAAGAAAACATGCGAACGTGTGAGAGATAGCCCAGATCCACACATGTGAGATGGTGTTGTTGCTAAATGTGAAAGAGAAAGAAATTGGAAGAAGGTGGTGGTCTTCCTTCTAACACCTACGCTCCCGCCACGAATGTGTCTGTCTTTATTGTTCACTTAATTTTTGGTATCCCTATTTCACTGGGATACTTGCCAACAAATATTCTTTTTGATAAGAACTGTTACTATGACAGCTTTGGATTGTTGCTCCCACAGCAACATATAGTGATGAAAATAGTAATACTGGAAGAATTAGTGCATGCAGGATAAGCACTGGCACCTATGCCTCCTTTCGTTTTTATGTTTTGCCATTGGGGAAACGCTGCATGTGGGACATGAAGCGAAAAACAAAGTACCTATTAGCAAGCGTTGCTATCACCTCTCAGGTTCGACGACCGAGGGGAGCCTCGGGGAAAAGCAGGAACGCCTTCAGCGGAGCGCATCAATAGTTGAGGCGTATGCCAACAACAGTAGGTTCTCGTGGATTTCAATCAAATCTGGCTTTCTGCTTGTCAGAGCAAATACAAAAGACAACTCCGCTATACACATCTCTTTGTCTGGATTTCCTGTCAGGAAGGTGGAGGGGATATGAACTTTTGGCCCGTTCATTCATCACACTCAAATCTCCAACAAGACTACTGTTTCGAAACTCAAGACAGGTAGGGCAAATTGTGTTTCTAACAAGTGAGGTGGTCTGCGAGGCAGTGACGCACTTCGGCTTACCCATGCCTTCGTGAAAATCCGGATTCTCTACGCAATACCATACCTTTGCACTAACAAGCAGGAAGGCCAAACGACGCCAATGTCTGCAAGGCTACTCAGACAGCTATGGACCTACTGGCGGCTACATCCAATGTTAGGGTTTGGGTGTGCTCAGCTCTTACCAAGAAGTGCAGGAAGTCCACCTCATATATCTACACGGGGCTCATCTAGACGGTTTCTGTACGCTGCCTGCTCCACTGCGTATATATCTAATACACTTGCACTCCAGAAGAGGCACTTACTCCAAAACTGTGGCGCCATGTGCTCTGGTTCTCTCCGCTCCCGACTAACAAGGACATGCACATGGATAATAGCAGCTGGGCAACAAGCGCGTCTTGGATGCTTGAAAAACAACATGGCTACCCAAGTGGTATATAATACACAGACATAGTAGGGCCGACACCCAAGGAATTTTATGCGGCTGCTGTTGTTTATCAGGCACTTCAATGTCAGGTAAAACATGTCAATGGACTAGTCTTCCGAGCACAAAAGTCAGTGCAGGCGGAGGGACTAGCAGTAGCACTTGCAGTTGCGATCCCCCTTCGAGGGCAAAAATAACATCTTCCAAAAAAACGTGTGTTCATTACTTCACTGTAGAGAGGCGCTCTTTAGCCAGCCATATTCTAAGGCAGGCCGCCACTGGTCCTACCCCAAAACGCGTATTTGGGCTCTTGGCAATAAGTGTTTATGACGAAATGAGGCCGCTTGAGCGCTCACCCACCAGGCTTTTTACTCCAGCTTTAAACACCTCTGCTACCGTTCAATAAAATAATTTCTTACTATTGCCACACTCACCGCCTTTTGCCGTCTTCTGCGAAATGACTGAGTAAGGTTTATGAGCGAACTTCAAGGCGCCTGCAGATGGGTACCCTACTCTGTCCTAGAATTATGAAACACCTTGATCCAAACACGAATAAGAGGATCGACACTACTGGCCCTAGTTCATATAGCATTTCAATTTATTGCTTTCACACTGCGTCCCCTTCGTGGCGACACTGTTACTTCTTTCTGTTTTTTCATATTTTGCAGTTTGTAGCTGTAAAGCACTGCTGTGGTGCCACCACCGAGCCCAACAATTGGCATTTTTGTTGTGATGAAATACTTTTCGAGGCTCGGTCATCATACATTCTTAGAATATGCCTGCACTGCATTTTACGAGCACTCGACAAAGAAATGCGAGACAGGACGGGCGCTGACTCCATGATTGGAAGCAGCGCCCGTCCTTTCTCTATAGGTAGAGTCAGTTCTCCTTTGCTGTTTCTCTGTAGCCGTACGACTGCTTTCTTTTGTTAGGAGAAGGGGGGGTCGGCATTTACGTTTTCCAATTTCTAAATTTTACGCTAGAGTGCCATTCGCTAATTTGCCATTTTTGTGTTTATACTTTCTTCTGACTTATTCATCACCATGAAACTGAAAGGACACACGATGGAAAGCAGGCATTACGCAATGTGCAGGAACATCACAAACCGTGAAAAAGAAAGGAAATTAGAGATTAGACGTTAATTTACTTGCTATGATACCTCACCATTTTTTTACACATATGACATAGACTCAAGCGAAGGATCATGTGTTAAATCAAAAACAATATTTTACTCCAACACAGCTGAGCCATGGGTGGCACCCGAGGAAGGCGAATTGGTGAGAGAAGGTGACTCGTACAACACCGTCTTGCGTGGCCAGATTGGAATGCACACATTTGTGATATCAGGAGAAGTAAAAGCCGTCGACCCTTCTGTTCAGTGCGAGCCAGGTTCTACAGCAAGCTACGTGGAGTTCAAGACGAACCGCGTCTTCTCCGCTGAATCACACCGCTTGAATTTTCACAAGTAAGTGTTCATTGCAGTAAATCCAACTTACCCTTTTCTTTTGCTTTTGCTTCACCCATTTCGAGTGAGTCCTTGAACAAAAAACTTCCTATGGAATAAAGTAATGTTATGAAAATTTTTATCAGTGCTGAAATTTAATTGGCAAAGCAGCCCTTGTGTATACCTTAGTGTCTCAGTGGTACAGTGGTTACAGCGTCCAACTACTCAGCCGACGGTTGTGGTGCGATCTCGGCAGCTGAGATGGCAATTCGATGGAGGTGCAGTGCTGAATAATAAAATCGGTAGCACAGTAAATAACCCCAGGTGGTTCTGAGTGTTTCACTTTAGTGTACTTCATATTCACGTCATAGTTTTTGCACGTAACATCCTCTCTGTTATGTTGAATTTAGATTAACGTTTGCGTAATAGTGCGAATTCAGGAAATATTGTTACCATGCTGCAAACCTTCAGTGCGGCCAGCATGCTTTTATAAGTAGTTTTCTAATAGTGTACGCAAAGTTAGCGAGCTCCCCGGGCGTAGCGTTTGCATGTGGGTGCTGTACGAGCTTTAGAATAGCATTTTTTCATCACAAACGCTGATGCATGCTCGAATCATCTCTAAGGGGCTTTGCAGCCACCTTGTGGAGAGACTGCAAATGCTAATGATGGTTAGCTTTATGATGCATGCGCAGTGACAGTGACTGCAATGAATAGCGTGTGCAATTCTTTGCATACGCCATTCGAAAACTTGCAAATGTCGTAGGATAGTGTGTACGTGGCCAAGCTGTGAGAGTGAACAAGCTGAGAATGCTCGTCTACATTCCTGCGCGCGGTAATATTATTACGTGTTAGTAACAACAAAATAAAATTAATTTGAACCACGTAACAAAAGTGATAATTTTTATGTTGGAGATTTGCTGGCACAGTTCTTCGAAGTGATCTCAAAATCAACGTTAAGTTAGCCTAGTACTGCCTCACTAAAGGTACCTGAAGGCAAGGGTAGTCATTTTACACAGCAGTTTGCTATGAAAAAAGTTGATTTATCCAAATCAACACTAAATTCAGTTCGAAGCAGCCCAAGTAACCACGAATATCCTCTGGCTGTTCATTATGAATACAAATGTCCAGCCGTGTGGATATCTAACTCGGATAGCCAATGGATGTATTGTGAAAATCATTGTCCCGTGTGGCTGTTTTCTGGACGTCCAAATGAGATGTCCGACCGGACATCAAGTTTTGAACGTTGACTGGCTGTCCATATAAGGACATGCCAAGGATATGTGTATTTGCTCTCAATTATTGTAAAATTAAAATCTAGTGAAAAAATATTTACAGTGAAACCTCGTTAAACCGTAGTTGGCAGAAGCTCGAAAAAAGTATGTACTAAACTGTAGTATTGCTTAACCGAAATAGCGTCAGGTCGCTCACGTACTTGTCAAAAAAAGAAACCTTCTGGGAATGCGATGAAAGAACAAAAAACGTGCAGTAGGTTATTAACTTCGCCTGACAAATTCTGTAATCTTCGTTTGACGACGCGGCGGCCTAGCAGCAACGACAGCGGCCTCAAACTCACTTATGCTGTGAGCCAGCTTTTCGGCCAGCCCCCTCTTCTCTTCAAATACCCACATGACAGTGACCCACTGTGCAGACTTGGCCACAGTCGGACCTGGATCACCCGTGTTGTCGCTTTCCATGTCGTCCTCATCACTATTATTTGGTGACACTTCGACAACCGAGGCAACAATGGCTTCGACGGACATGTCCAGAGATGTCTGCATATCGCTGTCTGTGTCTCCGAAGTCGGGGAAGAAAATGCCTTCCTAACACCCTGCCGCTCCAGCAATTAAGCTAGCAGAGTTTTGCAAGCTTCGTCTACAATGTCTGAAGTCTGGTTCATGGTGTCACTGGCGTCACTGGCACTCGATGCTTTTGTCCCAGCTTCGGCATGACGCAAGTACGAAGCAGCACAAGCACACATACACAACACGTGAAAAACGATGCGAGAGCTGTACAGCACGGATCAACCAGAGAACACGTATGCATGGCGCCAAAGGAACAAAGAAAGCAAAGCAAGCGCACACCGTGTTTGCGTGTGTGCAAAGCGCCATCGCCTAGACAACACCAGAAGCCTAGCCGGCCGATTGCTTCTTGTTGCAGAAAAAACCAAGAGATGGCGCTCACCAACACAGCCGCCATCATCAGCAACACAAACAAGTGAGGCGTGTTTCGATCTCTGGGGCTTGCTGTTCTGTCAGGACGCCCAGTGGGGAATGACATGCTGCGGCGAGTGCACAATGAAAATTGGAAAAACTACTTATTAACTGATACATACGTGATAAGCTGGTACGGCTTATGCTGATACAAAATGCATTATGTTCAATGGCCGCCAAGTCGGGGATTTGACTTCACTACTTTTAAAGCGATACTACTGTTTACACCGGTAAGGTTTAACGAGGTTTCACTGTATATAGATCTACCAAATCTCGGGTGTAAATCTTGTGAAATTTCATTAAAAAGCTACTCTAAAATTCATTCAAAGTTTGGCACATGCATTTATTTGATTCCAGGGTGCCAAATAATTTTGCTTCATGTGGCAAAACAATCTGGTTGATTTATTATATGTCGCGTATGTCATTAGAAACAATGTATTTAGTGTTATTATTATCGCATGTGAACTGACAAAGTGCAGATCGAGCGCATCATAGCAGTCATCACGTAGGCAAACTTCCATGCGCCATCCTTGACACTTCTGAACAAGCGGTGCACTGCAGTCGCTTAGATTCCTCGAACGTACACTTTACGCTAGCTATGGCCCTCTGGATGTGTTGGGAAAAAAACATGCCCATTGTGCCTATTGTCTCGAAACCTGCTTGACCAGCAGCACGCAAAGAGAAGGAGGGGGGGAAAGGAAGGTGTTCGTGTCGCGTTGCACCTATGTATGCTGAGCCGGTCTCCGAGGCTTTGAGCGCAGAAGGCAGTTTTATTTTCAAGTGCGCTCTTGTGGACATCAACATCAATATGTGCAGTTACGAAGGGTGACTTCTCTATAAGAAGCACCAAAACGTGGCATGAGCACACCACTGTTTTTGGCAGAGATTAGCACGGCGAGCAGCAGCAACCCCGCTCACTCGCACGGAACAGATAAGGCCACTTGTTACATAGCTGTTCTTTACGTCTCATATCGAACATTTATCTATTTTTATCACGCGTTAACTATTGCCCATCATTTTTATGAGCCCTGCTAACACGTGGCATGTATCAGTTCTTCATTTGCTCGCATATTTCTTGCTATTAACTGATTTAAGATGAGCACATGGTCAGTGCCTGTATACCTTCTTTAAAAGCATGTGCTACATTCATTAGTTATTCTCCTGTGCTTGCCCATGTGTACGTATTGCAGTTACTAGAATAACATTGATATAAACAAGCGGGAGTTGGGCTTCTTGCTAATAATTTAATCAACCCACAAAGAAGCAATTGCTGCCACCTAAGAAGTCATCGCACTTGAAGGCGTAAGGGCATTGAACACTGAAATCTTGGAAGACTACATACACGCTTTCACAATCGCGGCTGGGGACTGTGAGATATGTGCTTCTTAGTCTTGATATATGTTGATAGTAAAGATTCGATGGTTCTTGAAAGCCCGTTTGGACTCTATTTTCTTTTAAAATTCATTTGCAGCAGAAAAGCTCCTGTAGGATAAAGATGGGCCTCCGAGGGTGTGGGTACATTATACACATGAAAGGTCTTTCTTGAATACACACTAGCTATATACACACATAAGCTATTATATAGATATATGTGTGTGTGCGAGGTTGTGTGTGTGTGAGGTAAGAAGGCAGTGACTGATGGTGGAAGAAGAGGATGAGGAAGTGCTTTAGAATAAACATCGTGCATGAACCAGGCCGCGTCTCCCATTTATCATATTGTCACACGAGTCGACGGGATGAAGACCTGGCGGCCACTCATCAGCCTCACATCATTCACGATGCCACCGGCAATACACGTCAAATGAATATCGACCACAGAAAAGGTGATCTCAGGCGCATGCAGTTTGCGGCATTATGACAGAACCATCGGCTGACCTTCACATCCTCAAGTACACCGAAGTTGCAGATGATGGACTTGTACAGGACTGGTTCGACTTGTTCGAGCTCCACGCTACCACTGCATCATGGCCGAAACGGGAGATGGTTATGAACTTCAGCGACTATGTGACTGATGAGGCATTCAACTTTTACCTTACCTACATATTCGATAACGACGAATGTGGCAAAAGATGAGAGAACATATGATCACCCGTCTTAATGTCTGTGATAAGAACTTCCTCATTACTAACCGTCTGGAGACAATCACAGTCGGCAGTCACAGTCCACGATCTTTACTCAAGGGACATAGCTTTCCATCAAGTTTCTCTTCTCGAAAGCCGGTATTTTCAAAGTCGTCGCTCCAGCATAGGACACGAGATGTTGCTCGCCCAGCTGATGCCCTTCATTCTTCGTCTTCATGCGTGGGTCCACCACCCAGTTTTCCATCACGCTGCTCTTCAAGCACTCCTTACGCTCAGCGGTTGCCTCATAAGGACGGCGTGTTCACAATAGAGGAGCTGACGAATCGTGAAAATACCCTGTCGAGCCATATTCCTTCCACACAGGCTCATGCATCGCCGTCCAGTGCATACACACTTGGCACTCGAAGCAAAACAGAAAGATCAGACGCATCGAACGTCGCACGTTGCCTGGCGCAAGAGCCCTTCGTAGTGAACAGCGTAGAAGATTCTGAAGAGCTTTTTGTCAACTGCGAAGCATTACCTTGATTGCCCGAACTGCATGACAACAGCCTGCAGACTACCAGCTGATGTTCAAGAAGGGCTCCCACCGCAACATATTCCACAGCAACATCAGCAATGCCAGCAAAAGTGTATTCAAGACTATAATGAAGATTCGATTGCAACCTAACATATATCGATCAATTTGAATTCAGTAATCACAGTCATAGGCAGCCTCTACGCACTCGAGCAC